AAAACAAATCGACAACAACACAGAAAAATGTTCTCAGTCCCACGTTGTTATATAAGAAGGCTTCAGAGGCGGCCAGCAGGCGGGGGTAGGAGGGTGGGACACCCTCGGACGGCCCGGGCTCGTGGCCTCGAGGTCTGGAGGCAGAAGCGCCGTGAAAGCCCTGGCCTCGCAGCGCCCGTCCCCCTCGCGAGAGTTACGCAACGCCCCACTGCATTCCACACGGGTTGCGGTTTTGAAGTCGGCCCTGGGAAGCCGTCCTCGGGCGAGTTCCCCGTCTTGGCACGAGGCGTGCCTTTGCAGAACTCTGTTCCCATCTGAGAGGGCTGGCAGGGAATGGCAGCCAGGGAAGGGGGGCATTCCCCCCGAGTGCCTTCCTCCACACTTGCCTCCCAGCACTCAGGACTGGTTCAAGCAGACGCGGGCCTCAGTTCCTCAGACAGACGCTGACACGAAAGTCAGGCTACAACAGGGTTCAGCCTGGAGGCTCCCTAAGTGACTCTGGCCCAGTCGCCATTCTTAACCGAACCTACCTTTCAGGGTTGTTGTCAAGTAGTTGGAAAGACCATGTCCTCAAAGAAAAGGCAGGGTGTGTGGATATATGTCAAAGCAGGCCTTAATCTGGGATAAGTCTGACTGAGCATCTGCCAAGCCTATTTTTCGTCTCAGGGTCGGTCCACCGGGATGTTTGGGGCACGTCAGAGTCTTTTCCCTTCCCTCCTAAATCGGCACGGAGGTGGCTTCGCCATGGTCTGTCCACCTGCAGAGAGAAGGCAGGGGGGCACAGCTGCAGCTCCATCAATTCTCTCCTTGGCCCCATTGCAGTCTTGGTGACGACAGCGAATGAAGGGGAGAACAGAAACCTCTGAACCTGCACGCTGTGGCCCCGGGGCTGCCCCGTTGCCACCTGCTCCCTCGCATCCTGCAGAAGGTTAACCCGGCCTCTGCGTGCAGGGCTGTGCAACCAGGGGACCAGAACTCGAACGGCCCTGCTGGCATTGTGGAGCGTCCTGCCTGGGCCATTCCGGGCCCCCGGCTGCTCTGGGGGCCGCTTGGAGTGACCCAAGTAGCCTTTGTGCCTGGCACTCTGGCAGACTGCGCAGCCACCATGGGGGAGTTGAGGGGGGAGAGGGAGCCGCGCACCCGCCTCGGTCCTGCTCAGCGCGCCCGCAGGCTGGGGAGCGCCTGCCCCGCCCCTTGGCGTCATCCAGAGGCTGCTGCAGTCCTGGCATGGAGCTGCTGCCAAGCAGCAGTTGTGCAATCAGTAACTGGATTAGCATGGAGGACTTCTTGTTCTCTTGCTGCTGCTGGCAAGTGCTTTGTTTTGGGGCTGCTGTTGCTCACCGAAAGGGCAGAGAAGGCGGTGCCGAAGGGCACTTGCTCAGGGAATTGGGGCAGAACATGCCAATGGAGGAGGGCGCAAATGGGCCTCCTCAGCAGCAGCCACACAAGAGCCCCTTGTTCCACCTGCCGTCTGAGCAGGGAGGCCCCTGAGCTGGGCACCGCTTGCCCTCAGACAGGGCAGCACCGGGCGGGGAAGGGCCACTAACTGTGCCCTGGCAGCTGCATCTGGATCCACGCGTTCTGCCCGAGCTCTGCTGCAGGCGGCCCACTCTGGAAGGACCTTCCTCTTCCGAGTTGCTCGGCTCCAGCCCAGGTTCCTAGCCAGAAGTCGGGCCTGCACAAAGCTGTCCAGACTCTAGAAAGACCTACCCATTTGCTGGGGCCTCCCTTTTTATGGAGAAAAACGGACTCTCGCTTTTGGGGCTTTAAATCCAATTGTGAGAGACTTTGTTCTCACTGAGAAAGAGATCGTAGTTTAACCTCTTTGTGCCAGTCCTGCCCCTGTAACCCTGCCAGATCGAATAACTTACATAAGCTGCGATGCGTTGGATCCGCAAATAAACGGAATGAGAAGAGGCTATTTACTCAGCCTGATGTCTGCGAACTTCATAACACATTTTCAAGCAACGACTGCAGAAGCACATGTCCGCAGTGAGCAAAGGAGAAGATGTCTACATTTATGGGACATT